ATGAACAATATTGTTAGTTAAAGCGTTGACTGAGGTCAGTTTATGCGATCCAACCATCATGTGTTCGCAGGGTTTCTGTAATGGAGTGGTGGTTCAATGCTTCAGTACTGAGGGAGCAGGGGCTTTATAATGCTTGGTGTATTGATCTGAAGGAACTTAGTGCTGAATAGATTTGTATGGAGATTTGTGTGACTGACCATATTCTGTTGACAGACACCTTATTCCTGAGAACAATACTGTGTACTCCAAACCCAAACCAGGTCTTTGGAAGGACAAATCACCCTGTTCAGATTAAATATTTATTTGAGAGAAGAGGCAGCAATATGGCGAAAAAACACTTACTGTGAGAGCAAAATTAGCAGTATATTATCGCTAGGTCTTGTAGAAGAATGATTTGATCCTCACCAACTAAACAGAACTAGTCTTTGATCATGTTTACAATATCGCAGGTTCTCTATTTACCTCTTTGTAGATGTGGTAGATGTTCTGTAAAATCACAAATAAGAAATACTGAAATAAATTCCTGCTCTGACTGGCAACTACATTAATAAGCTAATGCTGTGTACCATCATCAGTTGTTGTTGTGTCCTACTCCACTGCCTCAATCCACGTGACTATAGATGTTAGGGATGTAATTATTCACTGATGGGACCAACACAGTGGGAGATGCTTCAGATCACATTATTTAATTGAGTGCAATGTTAAAATACATCTGAATTCAACATGTTAAAGCGAATAAACAGGTTTTTTTATTCTATTGTTAACAGTTCAGAAGCCTGACAATGGCTCTATGTTTATGGCTCTCTTTTTTAACTATTACTTGTAGTCTCAACAATAAACTTTATAACACACTTTCATGATAGTCATCCTGCTGAGCTATTTTAGATACTTAACATATTTTAGCTTGTTATTGTAATGGATCACGGTGCTAATTATGACATGAGAGTACATGGCAGAGGTATTGATGGCAACACTAGGCCAGTGTAAAAATCTCTGAGTACATTGTCACATAGTCTGTCGTACAGACCCTGAAGTAAATATATCCTAAAAAGCCCACGCAAATCTAGAAAATGTGGCAAGTCTAGATTTCCTCAGCTTCAGGGTCTCTGGAAATGAAGAAAGTCTCAGGGCTCCTTTTCATTATATTTTTTTTTTTTTACTATGAACTTTTTTACAGTAAAATATGTTCATTTCAGAGACTAGTTTTTAGTCTAATTATCACAGATTTTCCAGAAAATGAGTCAGGTATTTGTATATGATATCTTCCAAAGAAGCAACACAGCACTTATGACGCATTGATCCGAATCTGAATTCCATTAAACTGAGCTCTGGGTGGAGGTGGTTGAGTGAGGTGTGGGAGTACAATCTCATGATTAATTTAAGCTGGCCTATGAGGCAAAGTTCACAGGCATAGAATTCGCAAGGGACTTTGTAGCATTACACTTAGAAAGTGTCTGTGGCCGCAATCATGGATAATGGTCAGTGTTATGTTATGAATGGGGAGATAATTGCTCTAAGCTGTCTGTTCCTGTGTGATACAGGAAGTGATCATTGGACCATGTAATATCTGACCGCTCTGCTGCTTTCGGCCCTGGTTATGGACTCCCACAGTGATGTTGCTGGGTGTCCACTATTGTCCATCATGCCCCATGGGAAGGTGTATCCATACACCAGAGGCTGTGATTTATCATGGCTTCATTCGAACATTTGTTTAATGTGAAGGTAATGTTCTTGGAATTAATTTGCATACCAAAACCTTGAATAGATTGTATTTATAAGCAAGATTAATTGGGATCATCTTGTTGGATTTTCATCAAATGCATAGATTCATTGTTAAAAATCAAATCATGAATATGCATGAGGGAGACTAACATGCTTAATAAGATTCTATCTGTTTAGGCCAGGATACCATATTTGCCATAGTGATGCCGTAAGCGTTTGCTATTGTGTTCATGCAGAAAGCATTTACATTAAAGTTTTACTGGATATCCCAAACATATGGGAATGTGAAATGTAGTGACACATTATTAACTATAAGATATCATATGGATTAGTTTGGTCATCTTTCACAACTAGTCTGAATAATTGGTCCTCAGCAACCGATACTTCTTTTTAGACAACTTATGAGATCGGATGGCCAGGCTTGCTGGCTTGATTGATACAATAGTGTTATGCCAGTGGCATTGATCCATGATCATGATGTCTGTCAGGTGATAGTCTGGATAAGACTAAACTATTTAGTCTGCCATCACCAGTGATTTTATTGAAGGGTGCTGAGTACAGGGTTCAACAAGACACAAAAGACACAAACTGAATATTTAAGTCTGCTGCAGAACAATTTGGTTCATGATGTTATGACAGTAGCTGTGCTAATGAAAATGAATGTTCAGTATTGTAAAAAATAAATGAATATTTTGGGCACAATTTAAATCACCAGAAAATAGTTTATAGTGACAATTTCATTTGAATGTTTAGATGAACATTTTCTCTAGGGGGATTTAAAACAACAGGAAATACAGAAATAACCTAGTATTTCAATTCCAGTTTTATATTGAGTTAGTGAAACACTTGCTGGGCCCTAGCTGATATGATACCATATAAGGAAGCTATAGACAAGGCATTCCTGCCTTCTTACTATTAATCGTGACAGATAGAGCCAGTTATCAGCTGCTGATAGATGGTTTCACTTTTCCCCTCAGTCATCACTTGTGTGATGTAGAGATAAAGTGACAATGACGGAGAGCGGAATGACTGGGACTGTTTGTAATTCATCCATCATATTAATATGTACGGTTGTGTAACTGCATGTGTAGCGTAGTATAGATGTCATAATCAACATTCAGTATTAGGAGATAGTTTAACATTAAGGCTGAAAATATCTGGACGTGATAATCTTGATGTTAAAAGATTAAATTAAGGGGGCATGTAGATTTGAAAATTGTAGGAGAATTATTCTCAAGGACTCAGTTGATCGATGCTCATTTTGTTGATCACTGAGGGTCTGATCCAGACTCAATTATTTACAGACCGCCACCATATGGCTGGAATATTGCTGAGTGGCATTAAACACTAACCAATGGACAACAACAATTAACTGAACCTTATTATTCAAGAACACAGTATTCAATACAAGTTGTTATCCATAAATCAAGCCAATTTTGTCTTCTGTCAGTATGGGTATGCCTGAAACGTATGGTAGTGGATTCAAGTTTCAGTACACACCAGTAATATTTCTAGGTTTATCAGTGCCATTCCCATGCTTCTGTATTTCACCTGAGTGTTGAATACCTGAGTCTGTATCACTTCGTGCTTCCCTTCCACATTAAGCTTACACCCCATGGTATGTGTGGACTACACTTCAAAGTGTTGTTCAATCAAACACAATCACTTGTAAATCTGTCAACTTCTAAGAAATGCTTGCAAAACAAAGGCATGTAGCATGTGTAGAGGCCATAATATCTAACATGATGAAGTAAAACATTTTTATCTGAAAATACTTATTTACTATATACTATATACTTACCAGGTAAATCTTATTTTCTACACTATATAAACAGGTATATTCACATTGTTTTGTTTACTTAGAGTTTATCAAAAAGCTATTATGAAATAAAACAAGACATTTCAGATAAAAATGTTTTACACAGTCATAAAGAAGTGGTCCTTTTTCACGCTATCCTCACGCTGTCCTCGTGCTATCTTCATGCTATCTTCACAGTGTACTGCACCTACTACTACACATACTATCTTGACTCTGCAGTGGTAAAGGTACCTCTATTACACTGGAGTAAGGTAGCCTGTAATCGGTATTTAGTCCATGCTAAGCATGGAAGCTATGTTGAGGCTTCTGTCAGGGGCTTACCTAGGGGTTTACCCATTGTTATGTCACACAACCCATCCTAGCTACACCCACTAAGGTCAAGGCCAGCTGTGGGCATTGATGAGTGGCGGTGGGAGTGCAGGGAGGGCTAAGCGCTGACTGTAAGGTGAAGGTCAGGCTAGGAGAACACAAGCCAGTGAAGCATGGAGTCACTGGCTGTGGATTGTTTGTAGGAAGGAGGCGTGTTAGGGCCTGACATTAACGCAACACGTGAAACTCTACCTATTGTACTGAGGAATGTGTAGAGGAAGCCAGGTTCAGCTGATTGACAGAACTATCCCATGGGAGTGAGATTGTCAGAGGTTTATGTGGGATGAAGGAATAACAGTGTTATCATTGGAGGCATACCGACCGATACCATGGATACCAGAGGATTACTATAAGAGAACTCACTGTAGTTCCATTATGATGGACTAGGTAGTGTTTTTTGAGTGATTTGAGCCAAATTAACCTTTCATAAAGACCTCGGTCAGATTATCTGTATTTATACACTGTTGGATTATGGATTCCTGTTGTTTGTTCTCTCAATACATCAGATGCAGGAATCAAAAGAATAAAGGGACTTAAATCTGCAAGCATCTTCCAGATGCTGCATATTGTAAATGTTATGTACAGATAATGAAACTGTACTTTTGAAAGACAACAGTTCCCCAAAGTGATCGTAGTGCTGAGACTGTTGAAGTCTGTATTAAAGATTGATCATCAAAGTACTAAGATAGCTTTGAGCAGTCCAGGGCCTAGATTTTCGAAGCTCTCTTAGAGCTAAGATAGTCGTAAATTAATGTTAATATATGGCACTTACGACTATCTTAGCACTAAGTAAGCTTCGAAAATCTGGGCCCTGGTTGGTGTAGGATCTGTATGTTGAGCATTTCTGATTAGCTAGGGGCTCTAGTCACAGATTCCTATCAACACAAATGACCTTCCACTTATGCATGATTTGATTGCCTGGAAAATATTCTGTTACTTGTGACACAGTGACTTCCACCATAGTACATCATGTGACCCATAAGCCCTGACATCAGTCTGAATCAGGGTTGTTTTATTGAATTGTTCATTCTCTGTAACATGTCTATTTATCACATAATTATCACATATTTATCATATTTATTCTCTTCAGCAGGAGATGCTCTTGGATATTATGTACAATATCTACTGGCTGAGAGTACCAGTACACTAGATGTTCTTGGATAATACACGCATCTAATTGGCTAACTGTTTCATCACATCTGGCATGGTAAGATATTCATCATTATCACATACTTATTGCAAGTGGAAAAAATACCATACTAACATTTGAAATGGTCCCTTACAGTTAGCATGTTTATTCCAATTGGTCAGAGACCACCATGTGGGTCATCTCAACATCTCTCCTTCGCTGTATCTGGGAATACACCAGACTGATCACACGTTTGCTGTTTGCTTCGTTTCATCTCAGCACCTTATGTTAACTCAATTACGCTGTGATATACAAATCTGATTCACACTTTCTTCTAAGTTTACCAACAAATTACTCAACTCCCACCCTTCTTTTGACTTGATAAACAAACCCCTTAATAGTTTAAAGCTAAGAGGTTTTGACATAGCCCCCCCCCAAACTGACACCAGGGATTGAGGGCAACCTGCATCCTTCGACCAACTTCCTGCCCAGCTAAGCACAACATAAATGTCATCTAAATGTTGATCTCAACTTCATACACTCACACTTGGAAACTAAATATTGATGGGAAGGTTGGGTTGTTTGTTTAAACAGACAAGACAACAAAAAAACACAGGTGAAAGACAAAGATTGCTCTGTTTCTTGCCAAGAGAGATTGTGTTTAGTTTGTGTGGTGCTTGGATCTTTTAGACATGAGAGGGGAATATTCTGATCGGATATCGTATGTATCTATCTTTGTCAAATGAAAATATTGCATCTGTCCTGTTAACCATATTTATCCTATTTGTTGGTGAAGTTGATAAATTTCTGAGGTTAAGAGATTTAAAAGTTTGGAAATATATACTAATTTGTGTATCATACACCATTTGTAATATTGTTAGCTTATACCAAGTAATATATTAGTCAGCCTGTTGATCATTTTAGTCTGCTATTCTGCCCGTCTAGTTATTCATTCTTTCATTTATATTTTATTTACCATTATTTGTGTCACTGTGAACCTTGATCTTAAAATATTTTCTTATTGCCACCATTTGAGTTAATTGGCATGATTAGTGCATTTATGATTGGGACATGATCTCTGCCAGATATTTCATTTTCTAAACATTTCCATCCCTCTTCACTCATGTGAGATCTTATATATATTGTACCTTTCACTGTTGGCTAACTACCAGTGTGTGCTACGGTGTGGAATTGACTGGTTGACCAGTTACATCATCATGATAATGATAATAATATGTATTGTTGGATGTGTGGTCTAATGGGTTGTGATTTGAACAACACGATCATGATCTTGCCATTCATCCTTTATGTTATGTAGTGTAAGACTTGGTGATGTGTATTGGCCCGACTTTCTTATTGAAATTTATTGCAGTAATGATTCACTTATTGTGGTATATATTACAATATATTGCATGCATTCTTTCATCTGTAATTTGTAATGAACCTGAATAAATAACAACTTATTCCCCACAATGTTTACAACTTTGTCAAGGTCCGCCATTTTGTTAGAATACTTGTGTAACAGGTGTTACATACAGGAAACTGGTAGTGAATAGTTCGGCTTCTTTTATTACCAGAAACAGTTGCTTATTTGTGTAGCATCCTTTCGATAAACTTTGCCAACAAAATGAAAATGTGCATGATTTAGAGAAAAAAGAAATATACTGGAAGATACCATGGTGTATAGAGATACATATTCATTAATATTTGTTCTGGTTGTATCCTGGGGCATTACTGTGCACCTCTAGTCGGCCCACTGAAGGGTAATGTGTCAGTGTATTCATACAGCCCCACAGTGTTGATGGAGGCTTCTGTCAAGTGCCATTGTTTCCTGTTGAATCGCTTGTCACAAGATCAGGACCAGACAGGCCATTAAGTACGGATGTCCTTGTATGTCACAACATCTACATCTTGACTAACTTATGTCAATGCTATGTGAACATTTATTTAAACTATAGATGCAGCTGACTGCCTTGTTTACAGCCATTAAGATTGACAATGGGGAGGTGGAAAATTTAAATTTGATTTAAACATATATGTTTCCAATGAAAGAAACCAGATTGGTAAACAAGCGTGAGCTTATATGAATACCGCTCCGGGATACAATGGAAGGAAGAGTAAACATGTCATGATGAATGTACAATGTGAATGATGTATAAATGTTGCAAAAACAAGAAATAACGCCAATCATTGTTAAACAGTAAATGTCATAAAAACAAATTATTTTGGATCAAATCTGCCTGTTAAATTTATAAACGAGTGCACTGAAATTAAAATTAAAATTTAAGCTTTTATGGATGAAAATGATAAAATTCAGGTCTACATAGTTCACTTTTATATATATATATATAATGTCAGTGTCATCCCTGGCATTAGGGGCGGTGGGGTAGGCTAGTGGGTAAAGCATTAGCTCGTCATGCCAAAGATCCAGGTTCGATTCCCCATATGGGTGCAATGTGTGTCCCCTGCCGAGATATTGCTGGAATATTGCTAAAAGCAGCATAAAACTAAACTCATCCCTAGCATTAGAACCTGCTGTTTGAGATTGGTCATCATTCAAATATTGCTGCATGTGTTATGAGAACTGCATTATACATCATTGAAGTACTTCCATGCATAATGAATTTAATGGCCCTATTAATATATATAAGATCATTTCATTACCACATACAGCACCAGTGTTTTTAGACTCAGTCAGCATGCTTAGTGATATAAACAGCAAGAATGGTGCCATAATGCTTGGGAGATCTGTTCTCATGACAAGCTTGTGTTTACAGTTTAGATAATGTACCCCAGTGACATGATTCATGCTTTCAACCACTGTTTACTGTAGTCCAGAGTCACACATTCACTCGTCATGCTGACGACCCAGGTTCGATTCCCTACATGGGTAAAATGTGTGAAGCCGATTTCTGGTGTCCCCCGCCATGATATTGCTGGAATATTGCTAAAAGCGGTGTCAAACCAAACTCACTCACTCACTCCAGAGTCACACATGTACATGGCACTGTGATATAACTACAATATTGCTGACTGCAGCTTAACTCAACACCCACACACTCAAGGGGAAGTGGTGATGTTATTTGTCCTTTAAACTTCTTATTCTCGTATCTGTCAAGGTAGCCATGCAACATTAAAATGATGATATGTACACAGAGGTTGCAGTTACTGGCAGAAAGTTAAGATTATATGTAGGTAAATTAGGTGAATGAAACATACAGGCCATTGCTGTGACTGCTGATCAGGCCTCCATCAAATGGGCTGTATCATGTCATTGGTGGGCAGGAGAGGGAATGTTTTAATGAAACCTTATAAGAGAAGGAGGCAGAGAACAGCATTTGTATTGTGTTCCACAGGTTTGTTCGATATCACAGTGAGATATGGGACAATGGATCTTTCATATGAATATGTTGAAGGTGAACAATAAGTGTACGTGTTTTACTTTATTTGGTCGGATGTTTGGACCCTTACGTTAATAATTTCCTTGAACAGACTACAATTTTGTCTACAATGTCCAAGATTAAATGTACAAGTGATAATCTATACATTACACTCTCTGAGCATATGTTAGTTCAACACATTGAAGAAACACTGTATTAAAGAAGAAGCATGATAATCCTTGTCCCATATACTATTTTTGAATTCTGCATACTGTGTGAATATGTTTGTCATGGGGCTGAAATGTCCCCACAATCCTTGGTCTGGCTGGCTTCATTGATCAAGCTAAAGCACAGACATATCTGTAGTCCACCACTGTACATCTGGGCGTTGCCACTTGACAAGATCTATACTTGAATTATGAATACTGTTGGTGGTTGAATACTGAAACCTGTACATGGGCTGACTGATTGTACTAATTATCCCTATTTCTTCTATTGTACGTCATATTGGAGACCGGAGTTGTCTCTTTTTTAAATAACATTGTGCCAGGTGGAGAGAATATTTGATAGATATTTTAAAAGTACTTTGTGACATACAGGATTCTGAAATGAAATCACATTTTGTTTTTTTCCTGACTCTATCCAAGTTTTTAATTAAAACATTGTCAAATTTCGAAAATAAGATTTAAAGTTCACCATCTTCTCAACCCTGCCGAAGCAATGAACATGATGAAGCCATCATCTCTGTTCCTATGGTTACACCTGCATGTCTTCATGTGTTTCCTGACCAAATTTTATTTCATTTGAAAACATGTATTGTGTGAGCATCATTTCATGATCAGTGTTCCCGTCATACAGCATGGCGAGGGCCTTACGCATTGTAACCATGTGAGAATCAAACCAAATTCTTCAGTGTAACAAGCAAACGCTTTAACCACTAGGTTACCCAACTGCTCCTCTGTAGCATGCATGGTGCTAGACTTCACTTGGCAAATTCTGAATCTTCCTATCTGACAGGACCGCCTCCATGGTGTAGTGGTTAGAGCGTCCGTCCGGAGAGCGGAAGGTCGCGGGTTCGATCCACGACCGTGTCATACCAAAAGACGTTAATATATGGTACTTGTTGGTCCCTGTCTGGCACTCGGCATTAATGGGTACAACAAGGACTGGTCGGCTTGGAGTCAGTATAATGTGTCTGAGTGGGGTATTCATGCTTCACTGCAGCATGGTATCTCAGTGGGCTAGCACTATAAAACCAGCTTAAGTCTGGGCTAGTACAAGCAGCCGCACATACATATACACATGCATGCACGTCGTCATATGAGCGAAATATTCTCAAGCAAAACGTAAACCCCAATTTCATCTCACCTCACCTCACCTCCTATCTGACAGACTTTCTCTAACAGATTCCCAGGATGCCATTTGAGGTATTTCTTTAACAGATGTGTACTTTACTGTCATGTTTAGATTTGACACTAATGTATCTGTTCTGATTTGTATATCTAGAAGATCAGTTCAGTAAAGAAGTGTATAAACAAAGTTTGTTGGAACAGGCTCTGTTATCAAATCTGTCAGGAGGTGAAGATGCTTCAGATTCATTTCTGATTGTTAGAAGGGTTCATGGTGCTTAATCAGCATGGTTAGAGCCCTGTTACGCAAGCACAACTCTCTGGAAAAAAATATCAATTAATCATTAGA